AAGTTGCCAAGGTTGAGAAACACTGTTCTAGGGTGTTATATCTGAAGCTTGTTAAACTATTTTATTTGGGGAGTGAAATGACTGTTCTTGCTTATGTAAGGGGTCATCTACACAGAAATAAATACGTCTGCCGTTCAACTGATTTTTCACATCTCCTTGCTTCATCTGTCTTTTCCTTCCAGGGGCACAATATCCCATCTTCCGCTGCGTACACAGAAACTCTCACGAGGAGGTGGCTGACAGCTACTGTGACATCAGCTCTAAGCCTACACCGGAGGAGGAACCCTGTAACATTTTCCCTTGCCCAGCCTTGTAAGAAGCTGACCATTTCTCATATAGCATAAAAGCTCTCCTGGCATTTTGCAGAGAACCCTAACAGGACCCTGTCCCCCAAGATTCCTGAAATGGAAATGGGATGAACAGGAAAAGACAATGTTGTGGTTTCAACCGTATGCTCTTAGGCTTAGTTAATGTAACTACTTCTAGAAGCTAAAGCTACAATCCAATTCATATTTCCCAGAAAGGAAGTTCAGAGGTTTGTGCTGAGACTTACCAGTCAGGACAGAGGAGACATCACTTGATCCCAACTGGGTGATGTGGTGATTATTTCCACCCTTTTTTCAAATGTTTTAATGGTCTGTGCCCAGCTAGTGTGCAAGATTATCCATAAAGGTATTGGCAAAAGTCACCATCCCCTGTCCCAGCTTATAGATGACACAAATTCATTGCATTTCCTTACTTCCTAGCTGGGATATAGGAGAATGGTCAGAATGCAGTAAATCCTGCGGTCTGGGAATGCAGCACCGCCAAGTTCTGTGTCGGCAAATCTACGCCAACCGCACCTTAACGGTTCAGCTGCATCGATGCCAACACTTGGAGAAACCAGAGACGACAAGTACGTGCCAACTGAAGATCTGCAGTGAATGGCAAATTCGGACAGAATGGACATCGGTAAACAGGAATGATTCAAAGCTGCACAAAATTGGCAGCTTTATGCTGACGTTGACACAACCCATTCATTATTGCACGGTGCTATTTTTAAAAGCATTCTTTCTGAAGAGGGCAGATCAATACTCAGACAGGGTAAACAAGACCACTCCCAAGACAAGGAGGGCTGAAAAGATAGCCTCCCTGAAAGCTGAATGGGATGAGAGGCATTCTGGCATGTTGAGATGGAGACTGATCTTGGCTCACTTTGATTATCAGAGGAAATTTGTGGTCTCCATTTCAAAACGAGGGTGGAAGGTTTCCAAAAGCATCAGACCACCCTTGAAAAAACAGTTGAAGTCTTCCAAAAGAATTGAGTTTTGAGATACCCCAAATTCCATGGTATCTCAGTTGTATAGTGGGATCATGAAAGGGGCAGGGCTAAAATATGACCCTTTGGGTGCTTGGCATGGTAGCTTGAAGGCCAGATATAATAGTCAGCCTATCAGAGGCTCCACACACATTTTCACTCTTCTTCTTGTACTAAAACGTGCCTTCCCCCCACTGTCCTCAAAACTGCAGGCAATCTTGGAGGTTTCTTGGAACCCACAGAAACAGGGCTTGGAAGACCATTTTCAGTCATGCCTTTGGTTTTCTCTTTCTAGGATCAAAGAAGCCATCAGCCATTGATGGGACCAACAAGCTTTTCTTCTCTATGACTTCTAGTTGGGTCATCAGAGGAATTTGGTTTCAAATGGTCATGTCTGATGAGTCTTCTTTGAAGAGGAAGAAAGGAAGCTGAATAATTCAGTTAGTCACCTCTATATAGCCTGAATATTTTTTAGAGGCGTAAACAGCTACTCATAAAGAATTGAAACTCTTCCAGGAGATGGAGGAAGAAAGAGAACAGTTATACAAAACGGAGAGGGAAATTTATCTGAAGGCCACAAGGACTCTTGCAATTTATATTCTGCTTTCTTCCACATGCTTTTCCCCACAGAATTTAACATCTGCACCATGACACGGTGTGGTTTGGATCCATATGGGTTCATCCGTCCTCTGAGACTGTACAGTACACTCCAAAGATGCAGTTCTTCAGAGACAGACACAGGAATGAAATATTCTCATTTCTCTTCAGAAAATGATTGTGTTAGAGGGAAAACATAACCCTGCCTTACCATACTTAAGAACTGAAAGACCCATGAAGCAGAACAGCCTCCTCAGGGGCAGGGGTTTTGATTTGCATGCTATTTTGGAATTTAAGGATGCCCCCAATTTTGGAAGTGTTTTCCCAATCTTAAAACTCAAACACATGGTTTTGAAATGTCATGCCCATTGGCTTCTTTTCTTCCGGTATTAAGAAAAGAAAAGAACATAAATCAGAGTTTTCATTTATCCTGGATTCTGTAGAGGGAAAATCAGATTTTTAATTTGAACACCCTTGCATTTATTCCACACATCATTTCTTTATCAGGTATAAAGTTACTTCACTTAAACCAGAGAGAAAAAGATGATGTTAATGGCATAGTGTCCTTTCTCCAAATTTTCTGCATGTCTGTCATTCCTTAGGGAGAATACAACATAACCCCAGTTGGGCAAAAGCAATTCTGTCCATTGACTTTCTAGACATCTCAGAGAACATTAAAATTGATTGTGGTGTTTCTCTGCATTTCTGAAGACAATAGTTTTCTTCTAGTCTTCTGGCTACACCTAGATTTTATTTATTTATTTATTTATTTATTTATTTATTTATTTATTTATTTATTAAATTTGTCCCTCGCCCATCTCCCCCCAATGGGGGACTCTGGGTGGCTCACAACACATTAAAAACAATAAATAAATATACAATTAAAAGCCAATGTGCACAGTTATAAAAGATGAAGGAAAAGGTCCAGGAGGCCGATGGTTAAAGGCAGCAATGCCCGGCCTCTAAGGGGCTAGCCAACCCCACACTTGATGACTTCCCTCCCTGCCCCAGGCCAGATGGCAGAGCCAGGTCTTCAGATCCCTCCGAAAGGCCAGGAGTGAGGGGGCTGATCTCACCTCCAGGGGCAGGTCTTCCAAAGGGCTAATAGGCCAAATAGATGGCTATTGTCCACTGTTTGTTCCTGAAGACCAGAGTTGGTCATACAAAGATTAAACATTTATCATCAACTTTGTTGTTGCTATTATTGTTGTTCTGATCAAAACAAATCTCATTTTCAATTTTGAAGATAAGGGTGTTGATACTAGATTCAAAATCTATAAATTCAAAAGTTCACCACACTTCTGTGTTTTGCAAGCCCAAATCTCTTCTTTTGAAAGTTTCTTCCTTCTCTTTATGAATCTCTAGAAAACAACTGACAGAGGGCATTTCGTGCTTTTTCTTATGTTCAACTTAATTTACTAAATTTACAAGTTTTTAGTTTGACGTGTACTGATATGTAGAGCTCTGCACATATGGATACTCCAAATTTCCATTCTATTTGTTGTTAGAGAAATTAGGGTGGTGGGAAGGTCAATTTGATCAGAAAGTAAAAAACTTCCAAGTGGTTTGTCAGGGTAGAGGGTCTTTCCTTTATTTTCCTAACATAAAATAGTAAATAGCAGTATTGGGAGGGGGAGGAATCCAGCCATCATTATGGTCTACCATGCTGGGAGGAAAGGGCATCTTGTGCCCCCAAACAACCACAATTTAGTGTGGAATATCTTTAGCAGCAGTAGAGAAAAGAATTATCTTAGAAATGTTCTGAGGAAAAGAATGTCCCCCGAGGAATTTTGATTCCACTCAAAGCATAACCCTTTTGGTCATCTCCCTTAGCCCAGGAATGATGGCTGAAGAGTTTTGTGCAGGGTTTACATAGCACGCTTCAGATGATAGTCTTCCATGCTGCAGGTTTCAAAGGGATGTGACTGAATCCTACCTTTGATCTGTGCGTTTTGTGCCTGCTTGACCCAAAAGTTTATTCTTATTTTAGTGTTCGGTTCCATGCGGAGTTGGCCAGAGGACCCGAGATGTGAAATGTGTCAGCAATCTTGGAGACATTGTTGATGATGAGGAGTGTAACATGAAGCTACGGCCAAATGACATTGAGAACTGTGATATGGGACCCTGTGCCAAGAGCTGGTTTCTTACGGAATGGAGTGATCGGGTAAGGTTGGGCATTTTCTTCCAATTGAAACAAAGTTTGCTCCAGCAAAGCATAGCAACTTAGCATGGAGTGACAACACAGCTTCAGTTTCTTTCTGCGTAGATGGTCCAAGTCCAATCCTTGTCCACACTAGTCTAAAAAAGAATCAGGTTCTGGAGAAACATGAACACAAACAGCAGTATGGATTAATATTGTAGTTTCTGGGAAGCTCTTTAACCCTTCAAAGGAAACCTGTTTTTCTAACTTTACCCCTCAGATGCCTGACAATTTCTTTTGAAATTCCTCTTGCTGTTTTTGAGCTGACTTTCTTGTTCACTGGAGGTGTATTATTGTTGGTCCATGAAAGCTTCTAATCCAATATAATGGTAGCCTTTCAGGTACCACTGGTCTTCTGTCCACTCCATCTTTCCAAATCTGGCCTGGTTGGTCCCATTTCCCAATCTGAAAAAAACCCAATGAGTTCCTTAGGATATCTTCCCTTGGGATTTACTTCAATGGGAAGCCAGGGAGGTTGCAATGAGAAACAGATAGTTCACACATTCCCCTTGGTCACCTCGTCATTAAGTATGTTCAAGGTCACACCATCCCACTGACAGTCAGTGTTAATCTCTTTCCCCAAGAGAAATTTTTCTGGAGATAAATTTTCTGGAGATAATTTTTCTAGAGAATTCCAAAGCATTCAGTTTCTACCTTTGTCATCTCTCCTCTATGGAGACCCTCCTTTTCCCAAGGAAACTTAGAGGTGATCCTGATTATAGAGAAGATCTCTTGGGGAACCACAAATTAATCTGATCTCTAGAGACTTTCACTGCAATAAAGCTGTGATTCTTCCATCTTGCCAGATGGTTATAGAACCATGCCAGAATCTCTCCGCTCCTCCAAACTTGTTTGTCAAGAGTGAAGCTCAAAGCCCCAGGTTGTAATTGTGTCTCTTTTCTTACATCACAAAGTATTTTTAGTGTTTGTTTATTTATTTTGACACAGGAATGAATAATTCTTTAGTGATTTATTAGAGCCCATATGAGAGGAAAAGGTATTATTCCCCAAGACAGTGAAGTATAAATAAATGCACAAAAGGGTTCTGGATTAAATCCAACACTGTTAGAAATCCAGCCACATCAATGAAGAGATTAGCTGTAGGTTTATTCCCCTTTCTTCCCAAATGAGCTTTTGTTCTTCTACAGTTTTTAAACCTATGACTTTGTATTTTTTTCTTTTACACCAGGGAATGGATTTATTGCTATTTACGCACTGTGTATCAGATAGTTTTGACTGGATCTGATATCTTTGACTATAGAGTCCTTTCCAAGAATCTAGGATAACTAAACAGATCATCTTAATATGAGCACTCTTCCAAGTAAAGCAACTTTCTTTTTTTGTAACCGAGATGATGATGATTTCCCGTAAAGACAGGTTGTAAATAATTTCGTAGATTGTTTTTACTCTGTGGCATATTTTGAACCGAGTTCAAAGCTGAAGGTGCTCTGTCTGCTTTTACATATTTCTCAGTCTCACTGCTTCTGTCTCTCTGGTAGGAGAGAATCAGATTTTATGCGTCAGAAAAGAAACAGAAATACAGGATGTGTTACAATACCTTCATAATATTAATGATTTCCAAGTGCTTGGTACCTAAATCATGGAATATAGGTTTTCAGAGCTGCTATTGATGGTGAGAGTGACTTTGGGATCACACGGGGTGACCCAGACATCATTTCAACAATTTGCTAGTTTGCTGACTGGAATTCCCTAGCAGTTTGTGCCACATTCTGGCCACAGGGCAGAACTGGCGAAGGGACAAAGAAGCTAATTTGCCTATTTATATTGGGTAGGAAAGCAAAACATAACCTGCATTGCTTGTCTAAGTGCCACCCAGATGTCAGCTCTTCATCTGTTGGCTGGCTGCGTTTTCACAGAGAACGTCCTTAATTTTAAAAGGCGGAGAAGCTGGGAGCCAAAGCTGATTTTGGATTGAAGTCTCCCGCCGAAGCCCTTTGAATTCTTTGTGAGCAGTAAATCCTATATCGAAATCTCGCTCAGCAGGGTGGGTCAGGTCCGTATCTTCTTAGTTGGCATTTCATCTGAAACTGGATCCATATATTCTCAGCTCACGTGTAGCCATTTAAAACAGAGCAGAGGTTGGTGTTGGGGAACGTCACCCAAACTGGCTTCCAATTCTTTCTGTTTGAGAAGGGGGTGGGGGGAACGGCCCTGGAAAAGGAAATCAGCTGAAAGCAAAAACATCTTTTGCAGGACAAAACATCTAAAATACTGTGTTTCTGTTGTGCTTTTTTCCTTTTCCTGGAGCTGCACACGGTGAAAAATTTTTTCATGGTTTTTCCCCCTTCCTAATGGACTCAAAACCATCTTGTCAGCTCAAGCACCTCCATAACTGAATCTTTCTATTGGTTTTCCAGTTTCTCACCCCATGATGAAATCTCCCAGGGGTGAGGAACCAAAGGGCCTTATATCTGGAGCTCCTACCAGTCCTTGCCAATACGTCCAACAGGAAGCATGCTGGGAGTTGTAGTTCAGCAACATCACACGACCTAGAATTTCCCCACCTCAGATGCATCATCGGCCTTCTCTTTTCTGCTCCTGATCTCCCGAACTCCAGAAAACATGGAAACAAAACTTTCCTTAGAGCAAGCTATGCTCGCCATGGGATAGGTGCACAACTGGATCTCCTTTGGCTCCAAGTAAAATTGGGAGGCAGGGAGCAGTTTTGGGTCAGGGCAACCACAGTGAAGGCAAAGCAGGCGGGACGCGTGTCCTTGTCCTGTTTCCCAAGGTAAGCTTCTATTAATCGCAAAGAGAAAAACATCTGGTGTAATATATACAGTAAATATATCTGACCTGGTTCAGGCATAGCTTTAAGTCGTGGTGAGCCACTTTTGTTGAATTAAGCCAGATTGGCCAGATGCACATAACGTGCTGAGCCAAGAGGAAACAAACCATGTCGAAACCTTTCTTGATCCACCCCCAACTCCACAGGGTGGCTCATAAGCCCTCTGAGGAGCAGCATGTGCAGGGGCCCTGTGGATCGCTTATGCTGGGCATCCAAAGCACCCCAACAAGATTCAAACCTAGGGGCTGGGCTCTGAATTTTATCACCCCACAGAACCACCACTAGTTCCCCAACAACAGATCAGTAAGGGTCCCCTTCCCTTCCCTTCCCTTCCCTTCCCTTCGCTTCCCTTCCCTTCCCTTCCCTTCCCTTCCCTTCCCTTCCCTTCCCTTCCCTTCCCCTTTCTCACCTTCCCTTCCCTTCTTCATCAATTTATCCCCTTCCCCTTCCCCTCCCTTCCCTTCTTTCTCACCTTCCCTTCCCTTCTTCATCAATTTATCCCCTTCCCCTTCCCCTTCCCTTCTTCATCAATTTATTCCCTTCCCCTTCCCTTCTTCTTTCTCCCTTTCCTTTCCTTTCCTTTCCTTTCCTTTCCTTTCCTTTCCTTTCCTTTCCTTTCCTTTTTTTTC